TAATAACTTTTTACGGTAGCAATAGAAAACTAACACATTAAAACCACATTTTAGCACCAACACTAGTTTGTGTGCAAGGGCTAAAAGATACATGGCAGCTATATATGACATAAGGTCTGTAAGGTTTTTCTTCAGTTTCTCTCCATTATAGCTGATTCATGCCAAATATGAAGAGCAGTTTCTGGAAGACAAGGGGGAATTTTCTGAATGCAAGAAGGCTTCGACTTTGTGAGTTCAAGTTCCAGTAAGGATTCTAGATCTAGATACACTGTAAACATGAACCGAAGGGCAAACGAAACATAAAACCTGAATCAGAAATCTGAGACCTAGAGCAATGATTTCATAAATAAAGAATAACTATGCAAAAAACAAGTGCCCATGCCCTCTTTAAGAGTGACCAAATGTTATGGGCCAAATTGTGTCCTCACCAAAACCGTATGTTGAAGTCCTAACTCCCAACACCTCAGAATATATTTGGAAATGGAGTCTTTTAAAGAGGTAATTAAGTTAAATGAGGTCATTAGGGTGGGTCATAATCCAATATAACTAGTGTTCTTATAAGAAAATATTAGACCACAGATGCACACAAAGGAAAGACCACGTGAAGACACTGGAGAAAAACCAGAGGAAGAAAAGCCAAGAAGAGAGACCTTAGAAGAAATTAACCCTGTCAACACCTTGATCTTGGATTTCTAGCCTTCAGTACCCTGAGAAAATAGATTTCTACTGGTTAACCACCCAGTTTGTAATACTGTTTTGGTAGCCCTAGAAAATACACCACGTAATACATGAAGCAGTCTTCAAGACCTAATAAAACCTAGATCAGCATGTAGGGGACACAAGGAACATCTACTCACATCTTTAGTCAAATAGCAAACTTTGATATTGGTCACTTATATAAGAAAAATAGACAAATAATAAACATGATTACTACAAAAAGATTTTGCAATAATGATTTAAAAAGAAACTGAATATGGGATGCTGTTAAAAGACAACTGAAGAAAATTTACTTGAAGTAAATTGTACACAGCAACTGTTTCACAAGGAATATAAAGAAAATGTGATCTATAAAGTAACGGATGAAAAATAAGACAGATATACATATATCTTGACTAAATGAATGCTTTGCTTTATTAACCTAAAGAAAAAGAGTATTTTTTAGCCAAGCACTTTTATGGCTCAGTTTCAGTGTCTTTGTTCTTTTTTTTTTTTTTTTAAGATTCTATTTTTAAGTAATACTCTACATCTAACATGGGGCTTGAACTTATAACTTCGAGATCAAGAGTCACATGCTCTCCCAACTGAACCAGCCAGGCACTCCATTACTGTCTTTGATCTTTAAACCTTCTTTAGGTGAAAGTTGCAGAGATTTAAGAAGTCAGGTGAGTATGATTTATACCAAGTGAAGAATGTCTTATCAATGGACTCCTAATTTCTTTCCTGTTTTCATTACTACTCAATATAGGCATTTATAATAAAAGACGAAACATTTATAATTTATAAAAACGGATCTAGTTCTCAAACTTTCCTACATTATTCTGGATAAGGAAGTAAGTTATTTTATCAATTGTTTGTATATTTTTACCATGAGGTGCCAAACTGGACAGAGATTCACAAAAGACAGAAGATTAAAAGCTTTTACCACAGGGAAAAACAAAAAGTCTTTATCACAGGAATATTTTCACAGCAAACAATTTTCCACATGTGAAAGTGGAACATAAAGCAGCAACACAAAAACTCCATTATATTTTACACTGTCATATCGTAGTGAATTTTGTCTTCTCAGTAAAGCAGCAGTAAAAATAAAAAGAAAAAAGGGTCAGAATGAATTAAATAAGAACATTAAGAGTTAGCAACTCATCTCAATCTAAATATCTCACTATTCTCCAATATATATTAAGAGCTATAAACATAAAAATTCAGGTTATATTGCTCATAAGTTAGAGTGTTACTAACAGATTTTGAACTCCAATAGCTAACAGAAAAATGAAATCATGTGTTGGAGCATTTCTATCTATTTTAAGCAACAGAAAAGTTAATCTAGAATCTAAATGGCTTCTATTCTTCCTGATATATAAGTGCTTTATTGTTAACAAAATACAGTTGATACGTGTCCCAAAAGTGAATAAAATTATGAAAAAGTTAACTAAAAAACAAAATATATTCTGCTTAATAAATAAAACATACCTCTATTAGTTTTTGGAAAAAAAGAAGACAGATGTATACTTAAAAAAAATCATTCTTCTGATGAACCAAATCAAATATCACTATTTCTTTGCTTAAAATTTTGAATACCATATAACATTAGCAGAATAAACATTGTTGCTATTTCAAATGGAACAATTTTTGTTGATTAGTTATTACAAATACTTAGAAAAGCTGTTGAGTTTTAACATTTATTTTATAAGCATGGGGCGCCTGGGTGGCTCAGTCAGTCAAGCGTCTGACTTTGGCTCAAGTCATGATCTCATGGTCCATGAGTTCAAGCCTCGCATTGGGCTCTGTGCTGCCAGCCTGGAGCCTGTAGCCTGCTTTGGATTCTGTGTCTCCCTCTCCCTCTGCCCCTCCCACACTCATACTCTGTCTCTCTCTGTCTCAAAAATAAACAAACATTAAAAGAAAATATTTATTTTACAAGCAATCACTTTACTGAGGGCTCTAATTTGGTCATGATAATTTTTACTTGATTTTCTTGGTTTTCATCAATAAACATATTACCTATAAATAATGAAAACTGTGTCTTTTCCAGGAAACTATCACCTTTGTTTTTCTTGTCTTATTGCAAAGGCTAGTACTTTCTGAATAATCAAAGAGAACAGTGATAACAAGTGTCTTGATAACTTTAAAGGAATTCCTCTAATATAGCACCATGGATTATGATGTTGCTAATAGTTTGAATAATTTTTGACATTAAAAGTATTCTGCAGGATTCAGTTTGCCAGTATTTTATGAAAGATTTTTGTTCCTGCATCTATATTCATAAAACTAACATTTAATAAGTACTTACAAAATGTTAATCACAATCATAAACACTCTAAGAGTATTAAATTGTGGTAACTCTATAAGCAGGTACTCATTTTACAAAGGAAACTGAAGCACTGAAGAGTTCAGTAACTTTTTCAAGAGTACACACCTAGAAAGTGGTAAAGGTAGGAACATGGGTAAACATGAGCCAAATTATCAGTTTCTTGTTATGTGCTATTTTTCTTTTTTACCAGGTTTGGATATCAAGGTTATGTTCCTTTCAAAATGAAATGTGAAGCTATGAATTTTAATATACTCTGGAACATTTTATAGAGTACAGGAGCTACATTTCCTTAAAAGTTTGAATGATCAAATCCATAATCTTATATGAGTTTAAAACTGAATTCTACTTAATTTAACATTAAAATTTAGACCTATTTTTCCTTTTGTGTGTTTGTCTCTTATATTTTTGTCTATTGTTTACATAAATCTGTGACATGATTCACAAGCATTCAACCATTTTGGATAGAGCCTGACCATTTTACTTAACAGCCTAGGAGCCCCAACTAACTGTCACAAGGTGGAGACTGACCACACCAGAAAAAATTACCATGTGACTTGGGGTGGGCGACTTTGGTCCAAATGTAATCGGTCGAACAGGTGCCCGAGTTCACAGGGGCAATCAAACAATCAATCATGTCTAGGTAATAGAGCCCAAATAAAAACTCTGAACAGTGGGGGTTACATATCAATCTCACACATTAATACCACAGGGTAACTTGTCCTGACTCCACAGAAAGGAAAATAGAATCTTCACATTTGGAACCCTGAGACTCTGTCTTATGCATCTCTTCCTTTCACTGATTTTAATCTATATCCTGTCTCTATAATACATTATATTGTGACTATAATAGCTTTCAGTGAGATCTGAGTCCTTTTAGTGAACTATCAAGCCTGAAAGTCAGCTTTGGGCAATCTCCCACACTGACAGCACAGAGCCTGCTTGGGATTCTCTCTCTCCCTCTCTCTTTCTGCCCTTCTCCTGCTTGTGCTCTCTTTCTCTCTCTCTCAAAATAAATAAATAAAACTTAAAACAAAAATATTTCCTTTATAAAAGGTTAAATGAACATTCACATATGTAGGAAGTTAAAAATTATAACTTTCTCTATTAATGAATATAAAAACTGTTCAAGCTAATATAATATATTACTAACGGGTTAATTGCTTTAGAAGGGAAGAAAACAACTATAAAAACTGTACATATTCTACCTTTAATTTCTAGTATGTATCACTATAAATGAATCTAACTATTAGCAACAAAGGATGAACAAAAATGTGTACTGATATACACTTTAAGATTCTAAAATACTGATCCAGGAATGAGAAACACTAAATTCCAAATCATCTACTACAGGTTTAAACAGACTTTTAAAACTACATTTCACACTGATTAAACTTACTAAATCCTTTGGGATTAGTTCCTGCATAGTATGGAATCAATAATTTTAAAAAGTTAGGGGCGCCTGGGTGGCACAGTCGGTTGAGCGTCCGACTTCAGCCAGGTCACGATCTCGCGGTCCTTGAGTTCGAGCCCCGCGTCGGGCTCTGGGCTGATGGCTCGGAGCCTGGAGCCTGTTTCCGATTCTGTGTCTCCCTCTCTCTCTGCCCCTCCCCCGTTCATGCTCTGTCTCTCTCTGTCCCAAAAATAAATAAACATTGGAAAAAAAAAAAAAAAAAGTAATTATGATCTCCTAAAGTAAAACATATACTCTGTAGAATAGTGGTGTGAATGTTCATCAAAGGATACTAAACACTAAAGAGCTAGTAAAGGATTAATTTTGTTATAGAGAAGGGGAAGAAAAAGGGAAAAGAGAAAGAATAATTTTCGTATAAGACTTAGGGGAAGAGTTTGAGGAGGGAGGGAGAACTAGACAGAAAAGAATGAATTTCATGAACTTCTTGAAAAAAGCTCAAAACGCAAGAATTGGTGCTATATTTTAAGGTATTCATCTGTCTTATAGACTTAAATTGTTTACCTCATTTTCTGTTCCCACATCCAGAATAACAGGCAGACATTCTTGAGGATTCATCCCTCCACAGGCTGTATACAGTGCCAGCTTGCCCACAGGGATGCCCATTCCATTACAGCCAAGGTCTCCCAAGCCAAGAATACGCTCTCCATCAGTCACCACAATAGCCTAGAAAAGAAAAAAAAAAGTATCTATTAATAGATGTTTGAAAATCCAGGGGCACAGTTCCTGGTCGCTACTTCTGAAGTAGAAGTCTCTACTTATGTAATGAAATATTAAGCTATCAAAAACCATAAATTGAATATACATGTAAGAGATTTTATATGATCTTAAGTGTGGAAGAGTGGAGGGAAGAAATAAAGTTGATATGTATTTTTAAACTATTTTTTAAAAAATACATATATACGATTAATTGGTTAGTGAAGAGAGAAGAGACGATATGCACATAAAGAGTCAAATAACTTTTGTGGTGAGTGGGAAGACACAGGGAATTAGGAGCTCAAAGTGAAACTGAGAGAAGCTTTGAAACCAGTACCATCCACTTTGAGCATGATTTTGGGAGTGCCCTAGTTAAATAATGCATGACTGCTAAGTATCCTCCAAATGCTTTGATGTTTACTTTATGCATCTTGGCACCATTTTCACAGCAATTTTCACACATCCTACTTTCAGAGCAATGTTGAACTATCCTCTTTAGCAACCTAACCACTGGATATTGTTCTACCATTTTTGAAATATGCCAAGTCCAGTCTGCTACTTCTTTTACCTGGTAATCTTCCACTAGACTCAATGAATTTTGTGTATTTCTTTCCAATCACCTTGAATATCTAGGAGTCATACATTTTAATCATGAGGAGATTTTATTTCTAATTTATTTGAGATCTGTGTGAAATTAACACATCTAACATCCTTGTTCTGTGACTCACGGCCATTATATGAATTTAAGCAAAACCAATCTCATGAGACACAATTTATTAGATTTTCTATAAACTGCTATACTCATTATTTCCATGGAGCCTTGGGAAAATGTCAGTCATTTGACCTTAAATAAATGGACAAATTAAATTTTCTGTTTCTTATTTGTAAAATGGGAAGAATAAAGATACTTTACAGAAGAGGTGCATAAAAATAGGATCCCACTGTTTTTTTCACTACTGTGCACCAGCACCAAGCACAGCATTTGGCACATAGTATACAATGAATAAACATTAGTTAATTGAATAAATCTATGATTCAATAAAATGATATGCAAAGTACTTAACCATAGTTCCTAGTATATTACAAATCCTCAACAAATTGTAGCTATCAATACTATTATCATCAAGAGTTTTACAGAGTCATAGTATTTTTGAAGGGGAATTTAGAATATATTTAGTCCATCCCTCTTATAGTATAGATTAGGAAATTAAGATCAGAGAATTGAAATCATCTGCCTGAGGTATTTACCTGGTTAATACCAAAGAGCCAGAAACCAGGTATGTTAACCTCTAGTACAATGTTTTTCCACTATGCTATAGTGCAGAACATATTTTAAAATATACTTTTGAGGGGCACCTGGGTGGCTCAATCAGTTGAACATCTGACTGATTTCTCTGCTCAGATCATGATCCCAGTTTTGCGAGTTCGAGCCCCGCACCAGACTCTATGCTGACAGCACAGTGTCTGCTTGAGACTCTCCCCCTTTCTCTGCCCTTCCCCTACTTGTGCTCTCAAAATAAATAAATAAACTGAAAAAAAATTTTAAATATACTTTTGAGATCTTTTTACATTTCTGTTCACCTATATTATGCAGCTCTTAAAGAACTGCCCTAAAAATAAATACATTTGAGAAGTGGGTGAAAATTATTTTTGCATATCCCATAAAAACATGATCTCTGTCAAATTTTCCATGTCTAATCGCAAAGGGTCAATAGGTTATGCTGTTTTGAAGAAGGCAACTTGATATCACTGGGTTAGCTGGCTCTGATTTAAGATAAGAAAGATAAACAAATACTGCAGAAAATGGTAACTTTGCTTTTTAAATTAAAACCAAATTTCCAAAGTCCAAATACTTCAAACACATATTTGAGATTGTTCTATTTATCATACTATCATAAACAGAGGTACTTTTATCTATCGCTGATAATGTATATTTTTATAAATGTGTCCTTTAAACAGGTAAAGCCAGTTGGCCTGCATATATTTTAAAAATATTTTCAGAATATGGGGCGCCTGGATGGCTCAGTTCTTTAAGCATCCGACTTCGGCTCAGGTTATGATCTCACAGTTCATGAGTTCGAGCCCCACATCCGGCTCTGTGCTGACAGCTCAGAGCCTGGAGCCTGCTTCTGATTCTTGTCTCCCTCTCTCTCTGCTCCTCCCCTGCTCACACGCTCTCTCCCAAAATAAAGATTAAAAAAATTTTTTTAATTATATATTTTCAGAAGATATTTTAGGACAGCAACATAGTCATATAACTTAGATATGATCTGAATAATAATGTATATAATGCTTTCCAGGTTTCATTAAAGATATTTAGACCCAGGGAGTTGCTACTTATGATTTTCATCCAGAGATGCGTGGGTGGCTCAGTCAGTTAAGCATCTGACTTTGCCTTAGGTCATGAAATCACGGTTTGTGAGTTTGAGCCCTGCATTGGATGAGCTGAGTTCCGCTTCCAGTGAGCTGGAGGCCTGCTGTGGGTGAGCTCGAGCCTCACTTTGGGTGAGCATGAGTCCCACTTCTCTCCCTCTCTCTCTACCCCTTGCTCACTTGCACTCTCTCTCTCGAAAGAAAAGAAGAGGTTGAAAATAACATAGTATTTCCATTTATTTTTTATAGCACATCTAAATTAAACTAAATCTATGTCTTATATATAAAGTCAAAGAAAAATGTTCTTTTTCTTCATAAATTTTATTCCCTAAGCTCTTCTCTCATCCTGAGCTATTAATTTTATTATATAAATAAGCCATGGACATTTATAAAGGTGATAGCTATTTGAGTAATTTTTAAAATGTTTTGAGGCATTTGCTATTTTAGCTGCTTATGTGCCTTGTTACAAATGTACATTTGGAGCATTAATTCGCAAACATTTCAACATTGAAGGGTAGATCTTAATAGTGAAGGAACCCTCTGAAACACAAAAAATTGCCATCTACACAGCTTATCATTATATTGACCTTCCCTTGGCTTTTGTTTTTACCTACTCTATCTCCCATGTAAGGAAAATCAAGCAGCTGGATGTCTTCTATACAACAGTGAAGTCACAACAGCAGGATTATCTCAGTAAGGCAACTGCAATTCTCTCAGTGATGTCTGCATTTCACAAATTCAACCTTCATCCCGCTCTGTCAATTTTTATCTGGGCATTACCTGACTAGTAACTCTGTATGAAACATGCGGGGGGTTCTCCGGCACACACACAGACACCCTCACCATATGTCTTGTCTTCATTCCTTCTTTTCCTTCCCCAGGGCCTTTCTACTATGGTCACCCTGGGTGCAACACTCTTGCCTCTTCTTCCTTCTCTGATGCACCTTCCTCAAGCACTACTTACATAAAGCCAGTCCCCTTCTTTAAATATGACATTCTATTATTTCAAGTCTAAACACCTCTTTCTAAATTTCAAGAACTTTCATAATAATTTGAAATCTGAATTCCACTACATTTCAACATTAACACTTAGCTTTGTTCAGGGCATCCAATTCACTTACTGCACAAAAATACACCATTCTCTTCCTGAACCAGATACTTACATGCATCTCTTCCCTTCCTAAGATAGGATCTTCTTCCCTTTGTAATTATCCAAAGCTAAATCTAAGTTCCAATTTTGCTAAAACAATTTAACTGTTTCAGCCTTCTCTGAATGATATTATCCTCTGAATGAATATGGAATTTACAATTTATACCAGTTTACATACATATTGTCTAATAATTGATTGCCTTTGTTTTATGTGTGCCTTGAACTATACAGTAGAGACGACATCTTATTCCTCAATATTCTATTACATATAAACAGCTGCCATTTAAGTGCCTATTCTGTGTCAGATACTATGCTAGACTTTTAAAATAATAGTAGGTGTAGTTAAGATCAAGATTGTCAGTGAGGGCCTAATATTAAGAGTTGAAAGACTAAAGGTAGGCTACTAATGAAGATAAATATTCAGAGATGAGCTAGGAAAAACATAAAGGTGACTGTATTGCCTAGCTGTTATGATTATATGGATATTAATTATTAATATTAATAGCCATATTAATTAGCCCTCTCTACCCTAGAACTATTTTCTATATTGACTCATTCTTAAAATTCTCTCTAGATTCCAGTTAAATTGCAAGTGTCCTTCTTAGACATTTTATACTTCACAGAATTAACACATTTTGGGGGTAGTTCCTAAGGACAGGATCTGTGGACAGTGCAGTTTACCTTGTGGGAGAAAAGCTAAGGAAGCAACTTAGGTTAAAAAAAAAAAAAAGTGAAAAAATTGGGAAGACTGGAAATCATGAAAAACATTCTGCTTAACAAGTTTGGCTGGTATAAGCCTCAAAGAGCAAAGTGAATCAATTTTAGCCATGACTGCTCAAAAGAAAGATCAGTAAGGGGGTGATGCTTCAGAAGTCATAGCTGTATTATCAACAATAGCCAAAGTATGGAAAGAACCCAAATGTCCAGCGATGGATGAATGGATAAAGAAGATGTGGTACATATATATACAACAGAGTATTACTTGGCAATCAAAAAGAATGAAATCTTGCCATTTGCAACTATGTGGATGGAACTGGAAGGTATTATGCTAAGTGAAATTAGTCAGAGAAAGACAAAAATCATATGACTTCACTCATATGAGGACTTTAAGACACAGAACAGATGAACACAAGGGAAGGGAAGCAAAAATAATATAAAAACAGGGAGGTGGACAAAACATAAGAGACTCTTAAATATGGAGAACAAACAGAGGGTTACTGGAGGGGTTGTGGGAGGGGGGATGGGCTAAATGGGTAAGAGGCATCAAGGAATCTACCCCTGAAATTATTGTTGCACTATATGCTAACTAACTTGGATGTAAATTTTTTAAAAATAATAATAATAATAATTAATTAATTAATTTTAAAAAAAGAAGTCACAGCTGAAGTGCCTCTGGCACCCCTAAAAAGTATCAGTTTGTTCATTCTTACTCCAAAAACATAGCACAAAGTGCTTGGCACGTGGAAGGAAGGAAGGAAGGAAGGAAGGAAGGAAGGAAGGAAGGAAGGACGGATAGACGAACAAGAGCCAAGGCAGGGACAAGTACTTCTCACATTCCTGAGACAAGGAAGGTGACAGGGTCCATGTCCAAGAGCAAGGGCTCTGAGGCCTGCATGCACCTTCCAACTGCCACCCTGCACTACTGTGGAGCACACTCCCCTTTCCTTTCCTCACTGAATTATTGTGATAATTGTAAGAGTTAAACCAGGTAGTGTCTCGCACTGAAAGCTACTAAATGCTGGATACTATTCTTATTTTATATTCATTAGCTCACTCACAGAGGAAAGTCAGATGAGCTACTTAAGGTCACAATGGTAAAGGAAATGGTAAAGGAAATGGATTTTTTGTCTACCTGTGTTCCTCTTAGTGGATGATTAAACCCAACAAATGTGAAAAAGGATTTTGCTTAAAGAAATTCAGAGGCAACTTCAACATTTATTCAACACTTACCATTTATAATAAACAAAGAAATACTAAGAACTTAGATAAAAATAATGGGGAAACTTAGTCTCTAAATGGTATCAGAATAAAATTAATCCAGTATGCAAAAATTAAAGGAATATAAATTAGGTGACATTCACTAGAAAAGCTAGTGAATGCTATCTGATATCATGAAAATTGTCAGCATGTTACAGGATAGAAAAAAGAACAAATTTGCCATAGTAGAAAAATTAGATAACTTACCTTGATGACATCTTCTGGCCACGCATTAAGAACTGAAGCAATATGTCCTTGGTCATGGATACTAATAAAGAGACCCCTGACAGAAAAAAAAAAAAAAAAAAAAAAAAAAAAAAAAAAGGTAGTTTTAATTTACTTCAGACTTGTGAAACTACCATGAATATTTAAATTTTTTTTCAGATTTGTTTGATACACCTCCATTTTTATCAAACTAGTGAAAATTATTTCCTTACACATTTAAAAGCTAGGAATCTTATAAATTAGGGAGAAATTACCTTAAATAATGTATTGACATTAAAGGTAGATTATAATAATAAAGGTTCATTCTTATTACATATTCTTTAAGATTTTGTAATTAAAGAAGCATTCACTCTTTTATATACAGAGAATAGCATTATCGATTCCACTCATAGATTTATTTAGGTTTTCATTAAATAATATACGTAAAAGCACTTAGAAAAAGATGAAGTATATGTAAACAGGCATTTTCAGTATACACTCCACTTGATTACATAGTCACAGTGTGAAGATGAAAGCCTGTATTGGAGTGACTGGAGTCACTGACTGGCTGGAGTGACTGACGAATGCTGGGCACTCCTTTTGTGTGAAACTTATTTTTTTTTTTTTTTTAAGTTCAAATACCCAAGTTACAATTCTTTGATTTGCAGTCTTAGTTGCTGTTTTCAACTCTTTAAGACTCAATTGAAGTCTTTAACACTGCCTCTCCTGCCTCCCATTTCCTATGAAAACCTAACAACCAACTGAAAATTAAAATTAAAAATGAACTTCAGTATCTTAATCTCATTTAAAAGCTTTACTTTAGTATTGTTAAATGTAACTCAAATACAGAGAGCCAGATACAACCAATGTACAGCTTAGTGAATTTTTATAAGGCAACCACCCTTGTACATAATAGCATTTAAGCAGAGAGAGCCTTGCAGGCATCCCAGAAACCCTCCACATGTTTCCTCCTATCAAAACCCCCCTCCCCTCCTAAGAGTACCAACTGTCCCAACTTTTACGGTCTCTTTTCTTTAACTTATAGTTCTATCATCCAAATGAAAAGCCATCTCTAGACACAATTTGTCTTCTAAAGTTTCCCATAATCTGAATTTTGCTGATTAAATTCCTATGGTATAGATTAACAAATTACTCTTTCTTCTGTATTTCTTGAGAAATTGGTAATTGAATTTAAAGGCTTAATGAGATTCATGTCCATTTTTTATAAGACACTTCATAGTTGGGTGTTATCAGAAGATGCATAGTATTATCACCAGCTAGACCTCAAGACTTGATCCTTCCTGTCCACCTGCTTGTACTTACTGACATTTGTCCTCTATTTTTCCTTACCTCTTCTTTCCAGCTTATCTCTTAACTGAGGCAAATGGAAAGTAAAACTTTCTCTTGAGCAACAGAGCCTATCCTGACCAGCCGGCCCAGACTACCCAGACTAGTGTGGATTTAACCCGACTCACACCTAAGCGGATGGATCCTGGAATGACCTCCAGAGTGACCAACAACTACCTTTATCTTGTTCTAATACTAGAATCTCTGCCCAGGGAGGAGGCACAAGCTCCATTTACATAACACACAATGTATGTATAGACATGTTTCCTTAAGGCACATGCATGACCTTATGCTTGCCTCTACATACAATGATGACAAGGCAGCCCTGTCTAAATACTCATCCTAACTCTAAACAAAAGAAACCCAACCACCCTTGCTCAGGAGTCATGGCTTTGGAAGCCATTCCCCATGATCTCCTTATTTGCTGCAAATAAAGTACTTTGTGAGATAACCTAACCCAGTGCAGTTTCTGATGCACAAACGAGCAAACTCACATTGGTTCAGTTACAGTATCTTGCAGTGTTTTGTGTGATTGCCACAGCTGCTAATGCTTAATATCTAAATTCATTAATTCATTAGGGATTACAATGGAATATTCCAATTCTGTCAATCATTCCTCATTTGCTGAAACTCTTCTTTAAAGAGAAATTTCACCACACCTATTGTTTGGTTACCCAATGGTAAAGCTGATAAAAAAGCTGGATTCTTCCTCTTTACTTACCAGTTTTATTTTAATGTTTATTTATTTATTTTGAGAGAGAGAGAGAGAGTGTGTGTGTGTGTGTGTGCGCGTGCGCGCACATGCGTGCGTGCACTAGTGGACAAGGGGCAGAGGGTGAGGGAAAGAGAATCCCAAGTAGACTCTGCACTGTCAGTGCCAAGCCCAATGCGGGGCTCAATCTCACAAACCATCAGATCATGACCTGAGCAAGATCAAGATCAAGAGTTGGATGCTTAGGGGCACCTGAGTGGCTCAGTTGGTCAAGCATCCACCTTTGGCTCAGGTCACGAGCTCTCTTTTGGAAGTTCAAGCCCCACACCGGGCTCTGTGCTGATAGCCTGGAGCCTAGAACCTGCTTCAGATTCTGTGTTTCTCTCTCCCTCTCTGCCCCTCCCCTGCTCGCGCTCTGTCTCTCTCAAAAATAAATAAACATTAAAAAAATAATAAAAAAATAAATGAGTTGGATGCTTAACTGACTGAGCCACCCACGCACCCCTTTATTTACCAGTTTTTGAAATAAAGAGGCCATTTGCTAGAATCCTTCAAGAATTTCCACTAAAGTGTGTGTGTGTGTGTGTGTGTGTGTGACCAAAATAAACTCATTGATTTAAACATATTTGATGTGTTTTAATCCATCACAGTTACTTTCTTTATTGGTACTAAAATTGTCCCATACTTAGTCAGTGGAAGACTCTTCATGTTGGCCTGAGTCCTTTTGACATGACTATAGTTTTGGACAGCTTCCTTGATCTTGGTTATGACAAAATGTTCCTTTTTGTCTCTAAAAGGTCTGCCCAAGGCCCATGAGCCATTTCTTTAAGAATCCCTGTTTTCTTCTAGTAGAAAATGATATTTCAAGACCACAATCCAGGTAATAGACATCCCTCCTGCTATTGGTTGGTTAAAGTACTGTTATAGAAAATTAAAAACATTGTTAAGATTCACTTCCTACTTACGGCCAGAAATCTCAATTTGACACTTTTTTTAAGTTTATTTATTTGAGTAATATCTACACGCAATACAGGGCTTGAACTCACAACCACATGATCAAGAGCCGTACATTCATCCATCTAAATCAGCCAGGTGCCCCAAATTGGCACTCTTCTTCTGTAAAATTTACCACTATGATTTCCTAGCAAATTCAACTTAGCAGTCTCTGAGAGGGCCATTTCACACTTTCTCTTTTCCCCTCACCTGCTACACCCATCTCCCTCTCTCAGCTGATGAGCAAATCTTCTTAGATCCAACAAGGTGAAAACTACCTCATCTCTCTAATATAAACTCCACTAACCCATCTGCATCTTTTAAAATAGATTTTTTTTTTTTTAGCAGTTTTAGGTTCACAGCAAAATGAGGCAGAAGTTATAGAGATTTCTATACTTCTCTTTCCCCCACATGACACGGCCTCTCCCCCCCCCCCCCCACCCCCCCACCGACAACATCCTTCACACCACAGTGGACACTAACACATCATTACCACCCAGAGTACATAGTTTCCATTAGGGTTCACTCTTAGTGTTGTACATTCTGTGGGTTTGGACATATTTATAGTGATATGTAGTCACAATCGTAGTATCATACAGAGTAGATTCACGGCTCTGAACGTCCTCTCTGTTCTACCTATTTATCCTTCCCTCTCAAGCCCCCAGCCACCACTGATCTTTTTACTGTTTCCAAAGTTTTCCCTTGTCTAAAATGTCATATAGCTGAAATCATACAGTTTATAATCTTTTCAGATTGGCTTCTTTCACTTAGTAAAAAGTTCCTCCATGTCTTTTCATGGCTTCATAGCTCATTTCTTTTTAACACTGAGTAATATTCCATTGTCTGACTATACCACAGTTTGTTTACCCATCCACCTACTGAAGGACATATTGGTTGCTCCCAAGTTCTGGCAATTATGATAAAGCTATTAAAAACTTTTGTGTGCAGGTTTTTGTGCAGACATAAGTTTTTAATTCCTTTGGGTAAATATCAGGAATGCAATTACTGGATTGTATGATAAGAGGAGGTTTTAAGAACTCACAAACTGTCCTCCAAAGTAGCTGTATTGTTTTGCCTTCCCACCGGAAATGAATGAGAGTTCCTATTGCTCTATATCCTCACCAGTACTTGGGTGTTGTCAGTGTTCCAGATTTTGTCATTCTAATAAACGTGTAGTGGTAGCTCACTATTGTTTTAGTTTGTATTTCCCTGATGACGTGAAATGTGGAATATCTCTTAACATGCTTATTTGCCATTAATATATCTTCTTTGGTGAGGTGACTGTCAAGGTCTTTGGCCCATTTTTAAATTGGGTTGTTTCCTTATGGTTGATTTTTTTAAGAGTTATTTGTATATTTGGGATAATGTCCTTTGTCAGATATATCTCTTGCAAATATTTTTTCCAAATATGTGGCTTGTCTTTTCATTCTCATCACAGTGTCTTTTTTTAAGTAAACTCACTGCCAATGTGGGGCTCAAAATCACACCCAAAGATCAAGAGTTGCATAGTCTACCAACTGAGCCAGTCAGTCACCCCGACAGTATCTTTCAGCAAGCAGAAATTTTATGGGGCGCTTGGATGGCTCAGTCAGTTGAGCGTCCAACTTCAGCTCAGGTCATGATCTCGCAGTCCATGAGCTCAAGCCCCATGTCAAGCTCTGTGCTGACAGCTCAGAGCCTGGAGCCTGCTTCAGATTCTGTGTCTCCCTCTCTCTCTCTGCCCCTCCCCTGCTCGCACTCTGTCTCTCAAAATTGAATAAACATTTTAAAAAATTTTTTAAGCAAAAGAAAGCAGAAATTTTAAATTTTAATGAAGTACAGCTCATCCATTATTTCTTTCAGTGGATTGTGCCTGTGGTGTTGTATCTAAAAAGTCATTGCCATAACTGAGGTCATCTAGATTTTCTCCTATGTTATCTTCGAGGAGTTTTATAGTTTTATGTTTTACATTTAGGTTTGTGATCCATTTTAATTTTTGTGAGAGATATAAAGTCTGCCTAGATTCATCTTTTTGCACGTGGATGTCC